CCAGAGCCTGGGGGTGAGTGCTGCCCAGCCTGTCCCCCCACCCCCGGGCTCGTGGAAAACGAGGGGCCGGAGTCTGTGGCCTGGGGAGGGGGCTCTGCAGTGGCCAAGAGTGCGGGATGCGCTGAGCTTTGTGCCCCGCGGCCTGATCCTAAACACTTGGGTTTGTAGACACCTCTTCGGGGGGATCCGCACGGGGAGCATTTCTCGGGGCGCCCCAGCGTGGAGGGGGGCGATTTCAAAGCACACGCCGCTGTTTCTGGAAGGGGGGGGGCGAAGACAAACCCCAGACCCAGAGCGGTGGGTTTGCTCGGATAGGGCGCAGCAGAGAACCCCAACAATCCCTCCAAAGAAGCGCTCTCGCCCTCCTGAGCAGTGACTGCGGAGCTGTGATTTTAACTGAGTCCCGGACGAGTGATTCTTCCGAAACCCCTTCCTCCCCCGCTCCGGGGCTGGTTCTGTCCCCTCCCTCCGCCAGGAAGACTGATCCGGAGGGTTTGTTTACTGGGAGCCTCTATGCAGATAATCTTGAAGGAAAATCCTGGGTGTGTTTGCAAAGGGATTATGGCCGGGCACTCCCCCCCCCCCCAGTCTGCTAGAGGGTGGCACCCAGAGAGGTTAAAGGCGCAGGAACTATTGTTTGGGGGTGGAGAGGGTGGGTGGGGGTGTGTCCCTTTAAGAGGTCCATTTGGAGATCTGTTCTGATTAACCGGGGGCTCGGTTTGCTGAAGAGGGGCTTGGCGCCAGGCGGCTGCGGCTCCACAATAAAGACCCGTCTCTTGTCACTTCATATTTACCCAAAAAATCTTCAAACAGCGCCCTGCGATCCTTCCAAAGCGCCTGGCGCGGCCGCCTGATCTTCGGCCCAGACGCTCCCCTGTGGGACTGGGGGAGGGGGGGCTGGGAGATTTCCCCCCACCCCAGGAACTGCATGAAGCCCCCGAGAATCCGGATGGGCGCAGATTGTTCCCCTCCCGAGAAATGCCTCTGCCGTGCCCCTCTCCTGCCCTGCGCAGGCTGGTGAATGGGGGCGTGTGACCTCTAGATGGCCGCCAAGTGCCCCTGTGCGGGGAGAGCCCGGAGCGGGAGCGGAACTCCCAGAGCCAGGTCCCTGCGCAGGCTTTTGCGCTGCTCCTGCGCGGCGCGCAAGGAAGCGCGGGCAGGCTAGAAGGTCGGGTCCAGAGCCAGGGGCCCGGAGGCGCGAGGTGGGCATGACACCCCCCCCCCAGCGTCCCGGGCACCCCCTAGCTCTGCCTAATTCAGAGACCTCGGCTCCCACCTCTGGCCCGGCTGGTCAGCAGCCCGGCTGGCCCTCGCCCCGCGCGGCCTGGCTTGCGAGTACTTGTTCTTCCAGGGTCCCGGGTTTGCGGCCTCCCGCTTCCTTCGGGGCGGGGGCGCACTCACAGCTGGGGGGGTTCCCCGAGGCCGCACAGGTGAGATGCTGTTGCGCTGGGTGCCGGTGAATGGAGGAGACCGGGGGAACCTGGGTCAGCCCCCGGCTTGCTGAAGGCAGCCGCAGCTCCCAGCCTGGGCCCCAGGTCGAGCTCAGCCGAGCCCCGGCGAACATGAAAAGCGGCCTGGGCAGGCGCTGAGGGCCGGGCTCGCCTGTTGACATTGGGACACAATTTGGACTTTGTCGTTTTGCCTCCCGGGAAATGTGCTGAGGGCAGCTGTATGGGGCTGGGGGTGGGGAGGAGTGACCGGGGCTTTTTCCACAACCCAAGGCCGGTGCCTTTTGGTGCCCTTCAGCCGAGCCCCGGCGAACATGAAAAGCGGCCTGGGCAGGCGCTGAGGGCCGGGCTCGCCTGTTGACATTGGGACACAATTTGGACTTTGTCGTTTTGCCTCCCGGGAAATGTGCTGAGGGCAGCTGTATGGGGCTGGGGGTGGGGAGGAGTGACCGGGGCTTTTTCCACAACCCAAGGCCGGTGCCTTTTGGTGCCCTTTTTTTGGGGGGGGGGGGGAGACAGGCACCCAGCCCTCCACGGGGGCTGTGTCCGGGCGGCTTTCTGCTCTTGTCCTCCCCTTAGGGGAAAAACACAGAATAAAATGTGTCCGATAAACGCAGCTGTCGGGAATTCAGACCGAGCCCTTTCCAAAGTCGCTCCGAGGCACTAAATAACCCATCTCAGCCACCCTCTGTCTCCGGATCCGAGAACCCGACCGAGGGATGCTTTGGGGAGACCTTAGAAATATCTGTCCCTCTCCTGCTGCAGAGGAGAGTCCAGGGGAGGTGCCCTGTACAGTTAGGGCTGTAAACTCCTTGGCCTGCAAACAGACAGGAAAGGCCCGTCGCCTGATCTGCCGCCCAGAAATTCTGGGTGACAATAATATTCCGCCCTGGGCGCCCGGCGGACACGGAAACCCAGAATCCTTTCCCCGCAGTGTCCCGATAAAGCCGCACAAACCACCTGTAACAAGTCAGACTCGGATCGAGAAGGAAAACCCAGCTCCCCGTAACATCACCCAGAACCATTTACTACCGATTTTACACCACCTCTGTGTGAAAGTGCGAGACGAAATCGATTGGCATCAATACTCCTGCTCAGTTTTCCAGCAAGCAGGTTCTCTGCAATTCGAATGTCTTCGAATTCGTTTACACATAAATCTTTCCTCCTCCCCCAGCTCCGACCTCCCCACCAGTTCCGAGCCACGAGATTACATCAATTACAGACTAGAAACAAGGCGAAGAGAGAGGTGGATTTCTCTCCCCGCACCCTGCCTTGGTTGAATCAGATTTTGTTTGATCTAAAATACTTTTCTCCCCATCCCAACTATTCTGCCGTAATTAGCAATCAGCCATATTCATTAACTAGGCGCCTACACCCTTGCTCCATAAGACCCAGAGTTAGTTACACTCTTTGTATTCCTATAAAAATTCGATGGCATGCCTGATTTGTGTTTGCCGCTAAAATCCCACATAGGAAAGGGACATTTTTAATTCCCCATTGCCCTTCTTTGCTGGAATCGCAGGACAGAGCGGTAGGACGTGCTGCATACAGACAGGGGGGGGAACTATTTTTTTTAAATCTGCGAGAAGGCAAGCCACAGGGGCAATGTCAGCCATGTCGCCCTTGGAAATGCATGGTAGGGCTGTAAATAAACGAGCTTTTTTGTGTATGTAGGGCAACCTCTGGTCCAATGGGGTTAATGGAGCAGGGTACTGGAGTGAGATGGGGTGTGTATACAAACAGGGTGTGCTGGTGCCACACCACAGGGAGTTCTGTCTGAAGCCAGGGGAAACATTTTCCGCGTGGACTTCTCTCTGATCCGCAAGGACGTTCTTCGTTTTCCTCTCTGCATTTTGATCTAATAATTTCTCTGCAGTTTCCTTCTCCTGTAACCTTCTGGGACTCGTTATCTTTTAAACGAGGACTTCTCTTCTATACAGAGTCCGGTTCCTAACAATAACCCCTATTCTGGAGGTGACTGTGTGTGTGTATATATATATATATATATATATA